TTTTTTTTTCCCCCCCCAGAATTATTTGATAAATAGAACATCATATATTGGAAATTGTTATTAATTGTTATGTTTCATAGTAACTTTATTAGCAATTCAGTGTGTTCTTGTGGAAAATAGTAACACAAAGTAATAATTTCTTCTCTCTAAATTAAATGCTAAAAATGCAAAAATAAGTTCCAAACAGCCTACTTAATAACAACTTAACAAGGACATTCCTTTATAATCCCATCTTATTCCACTGTGCAAGTACCGGTAAAACACTGTATTAAGATGGCAGGTAATAAATAAAAAGAGGCAATACATGGAAGTATCAAAGAGATGAAGAAGCTCAAGAAGCCGCATTGTGCTAATGTAAAGGTGCAGGGGGAAAGTAGGGCTATTTGTGGGTTTGACACACCACAGGGAAGCCCAGTCTAATCAATGGCTTACAACCTGCTATCAGGGAAAGCCATCCAGATCACTTGAGGCCAAACCGGAGCCCGGAGCTCACAAGGAGAATCATATTCCACTACAAAAATATCAGTAAGTTAGAGAACAGACTTGCATAATGGCAAAATACTATTACTATCATTCACAGATAATGAGTGGTTTTGTGCAGCTGCCCTGAAGAGGGAAGATTGCACTGTTTGCTTCGTTCTGCGTAACAGTCTATTCTTGTTACATCCAGGTTTTCATAACCTATGAATCCCGATCACAGACTTGATTGCTCGCTGACTAAATGCTTTTAGGTTATGCTCTGTATAGCAGTCTGTTCTTGTTATATTTGGGCCTCTGTAACCTACCGTACGAAACAGGCTCTGAATGATATGTCTGCATAAATATTCCTTTAGAGCAAAGCTAACAGGGCCTCTTAATTAAGCCGGACTTGAAGAGAGAATCCCAGGGGCATGACGAAAGAAAATTAATGGTGACACTGAAAAACTACCTTCCTGTGTGTTTTCTCCTTCCCTTCATGCTGAGGCTTCACCTTGCCTTTGGCCTTTACTTTCTTTTTCTTGAGCTTTACTCTGCGGAGGAACAAAAAGGAAAAGGAAAAGATGATTAGAGGAATTTGAGACAAAAGACAAACCTAAATGAGAAAAGAAGGAGGGGTGGGAATAGATGAGACGAGGAGGAACATAGAAAGGCCATTAGTGCTGAAGAGTTCTGAATCCATATTATCGCTTTACAAATAAACCTCTCCCTTCACTGGAGTGTGTGACAGTCTGCCAGCAGGCCTCGTCACAACAGGCTGCTGTCAGCAACACTTACAGGTGTCCAAGTCTTTCATCAGATTAATTACAAATGCCAGAGACGGATGGATGTCCCCAGCGTTAGTGTGCCCATATAATGCATTAGATATCAAAGTAAAATAATTTATTCATAAAGAAGACGGAGTACAACTCTCTGAATAATGAATGCAAGCTCTTTGGCACTCACTTCACACTTGGTTAGATTTACGATTTGTGGTGCACATCATTTGTTTGGGAGGCTCAATTTGTCTCCATCTTTCGCAGTAACACGAAAGGTGCTTCCTGCTGCAAAGTGCAGCGCTGTGTATAATAATGTGCAGCTGTTGTTTGTGTTGCCATTAAATCATGCTTATTCTCAGTTGAATAACAAATATTTAGCTCACTTGTAAACTCATATACAGAAACCACAGATGCATTAGGGGTGATAGTGTGTTTGAATGGAGTGTGTGCCAGCAAGGCACAATTACAGGATGGAAGTCAGTCAAGATCAAGGACTTCTTTTACCTACAGTACAATTAGACAAGTGTTTGAGGATGCGATGGGATTGGACATGTAGTGCTGCATTTGTTTGTGATGTATAAAGGGCCTAGTGGTGTGTTTTAATTTAGCTAACAGCTGTACTCACACAAGTGCATCATCACTCGAGCCTGGATTATCTTTCAACTCTTTTTCCACGGCTTTCATGGAGTTGGAGTCTTCTGCCATCCCTAAAGATTGATGCCAACAAATCAACTGAATTCACTGTTGAGTGCATTCAATTCAGATTTCACTGAAAACAGCCCTTGTGCAAAGCAGACGTCTTAATACGTTCATAATCTTCACCAAATACTAATTAATTTAGCATGTTAAACAGGAATATTTGCTGTGAGATGTGAATAAAATAAAGAAACATTAATGTAATACCTGCTAACCCATATATTGTGCGGTTGTTATCAATCCATCCGCGTGGTTCTTAATCATACAAACGAGCCACTGATTTGAGGTTTTGTTGTCATTGCTATTTTATAGACCAGTTTATGCTATATTTCCAGTGTGATTGTAAAATTATCTGGCGGTACAACAAATGTTAAATTAAAATGGGTATTAAAAGTGCATGTGCGTTTAAAATTTCTTTACCCACTGGACCACTAGCGACACCAAAATGAACTAATGAAAAAAATTGTTTTCCGAACAGGTTTCCCATGGTTTCCCCAAATACACCCATTGGTCAGACAAAAAGGTATTCCCGCCTCAAGCCCATGCCATTGGTTGATTTTGGCAGAGAGCCTTCTCTATGTTTTCTGATTGGCTAACACTGCTGTCCCTAGAATGACAGCGACTGTTTTCGCCATTAACCCACTAAATAGGAAGACAAGAAGAGGGATTTCTCCTGACAATAAAATTTAAATAATATTTAATGATAGAATCAATTATTATAGTATATTTATACATATCTTATGTTATGGTCTGATGACTGCATTGGATACCCATGCTTTTTTAAGGCAAGACGCCACACACGAATACGATTTTAATATTTTTAAGATATCACCATATTCACCAGTTGTTTCATCACAATACAACAAGACAACTGTTTTGTATTACAAGTTTTCGGAAATGTTTAAATATGCAAATGGAATAATGTAATTAAATATAAATTAATTTGCATACATTTCCAGAAGAGAAACCTAGTGTAAAATATCCAGTTGTATAATACATGCAGTTTTATGACTTCACATGCTAACGTATGTAACTGTCTAACGTATCTTACTTGAATAAATAAATAGCATGCATGCATGCATACATATTTCATACACATTTTCCCTTTTACTAAAATACTTTTACTAAGGCATCTAGCCATCTACCCTTCCCTACCGTTTTAAAATCCCAAAACATGAATGACTTTTTAAAAGCTTCCTTCATATTTCTGAGTTTGTATGAACTCCTTTCATTGTTTGTGAGTAAATTGCGCTGTGTACTGTGGTGTCATGCATTTGACATTCTGTGCGCGGCTCCTTTAAGAGACCCCGGAAGTGGATGTGAAGCGCAACATTATATACAAGGTTTATTTTGGTTCGTATTTGTCAGGCGCGCAATGACGTCTTTCCACTTATGTACAGCCGCGCGCTCTTTGCTAAAGTCTTATCGACACAGAGAAGTGTTAAAAACGGTCCAGGGACTCAGAGTGTGGGAGTTCAGAAACATGTATCCATGTACTTCCATCGCATGGCTCAATAGCATGGAGGAGATCCTGAGAAAGACAGTGGCCCCATTACCCAGCTATGAGATGAGAGACAAATCTCCACCTCCACCTGAATCCAACAATCTGGAGTTCATGCATTTCTACAAAAGTATAGAGAGAGAGCAAAAACTGGAGTTTCTCGAGAAGTTGTCTTATGATTTCGGGGTAGATCACAGATGGGCTTCGGACCTGGCTGCGAAGTTGCTGGACACTCAGGTGCGGGATGTGGCCACCATCCTGCAGGTGGAGGACAGGTTACGGTACAGTTTAACACCCCGGTACCGACAGCTGCTCACGCACATCAGCAAGGTTCAAGGCGGGGTGAAGTTCCTGGTGGACCTCAGGGCAGATCTCATCGAGTTAGCGTCCTCAAAAATGACTGACAGCCCACATATGAGGGTAAATACACACCATTTTGTTGTTACCCTTTATGATATGTAGATGTCAAATGTATTCGTTTTTGGTGTCATTCCAAGAAAAAAAGGTGCCTTTTGTGTTCCTCATGAACATACTGCATCTATATAAAATACAGATATAAAAAGATATACAATTGCAAGTCTAAATTGTGAGATATAAACTTGCAATTGCATGGAAAAGGTCAGAATTGTAAGATAAGTCGCAATTACCGTTATTATTTTTGATTCTGTGGCAAAAACAAAAAAAATAACTGAACTGAACTGAAAAACAGAAAAAAAATAAAAATGTTGCGTTTATATCTAACAATTCTGTTTACATATATTCAGTTTTTTCCCCCTCAGAATTGTGAGGAAAAAAAGTCAGAATTGAGAGAAAAAGTTACCTTAATTATCATTCCATAGCGGAATTCTGTGGCATTATGATTAAGCATATAGAACAAAAAACACATATATATATATATAGAGAGAGAGAGAGAGAGAGAGAGAGAGAGAGAGATAGATTTTAGTAAACATATGAAACAAATGTTGTCCCCAGGTTATGACTATCATAAATGTTCTTATTACCCTATAACTCTTGATGAACTCGATGTTTCCATTATTTTGTACAGTAAATATCTCATTATTGAAAACATGACATATTTGTAGAAATATTAGCATTATCTTAGTCATAAACACCGTGTAGGGGCCCACATGACCTTCTGGCTTTTCCAGTGGTTTCAGTCAATACTGCATTTCTAACCTTGGCTTTGGTTATGACATGGCATGCAAACTTGTGATGTGCCCTTTCCCCCACTTTAGAGACTGGTGGTCTCTGATTTCGCATGGCTGGTTGTGTTTGGAGCCAAACGACCTTTGTCCCACATTAGTGAACGTCACAGGCTTCAGCTGTGACACAGTTTGTAATGTTTTGGTGCCAGATATACACTTGAATTTATGGCATGCCATTTTAATTTAAGCCGTGACGTCATGGATACTTGTCTGTTGTACTATATACAAAGTCTACAGTGCCTTAGAGCTCCTCCAAATTTGGGCAGACTGATATAATTTTTCATCTGTTGGAGAACATAAATATTTTTTAATGAATTATTTAGAAAAAAAAAATCTTTTAGTTTATACCTTTTGTTTTTAGGAATTGTATCCATTTTTATGCCTGCAAAAGTCTGCAGTATTGGAATGCTTGCCATTTTCAAAATTTAACACTTTAAAATGTAATCTTTTTTTTCATGCTTGTGTGTTAAATATTTTGGCTAATTTGATTCTTTCAGCTCAATTTTTCACATTTACCAAGTTTAAATTCCATTCAGCAAAATTCCAGAGATCTCTTCTCTCAAAGTCAAAGTCTCAAATAGTCTGTCTGGGCCTGCATACTGATAATAAGCTTTTCATTAGGATTCAAGACTAGGCCATTCCAGTTTGGCCATTCCAGAATACAAACCTTTTTTATGTCCCCCAAGGCATTTCTTGTGTCTTATGGGTAATTTTTCTGCTGAAACATCCCACAATCCAAACTCCATCAATATGACACCGTTTCTCCACAAGGATTTGTCTGTAATGACCTTGATGGCAACAATCATAGAATGATACTGCCAGTATGGACCTTTGTCAGGGCAGATGCCATATTTCCATTTTTAAGAGTGAAAATAAGTCTGTGAGTGAAAGAAATAAGTCTGTGCAGCTACTAAGTGTCAATCTTTCAGCTAACAGAACATTGAAAATAGGAAATATAGGAAAATACTGTGAAAATTAGATGACACATGAAATGTGAGCCTCGCTTAGATTTGCATTTTTACAATGAAAATTCAAAGGGACGCACAACCTGATGCAACCTTTTGAGTGTTTTCAGGCCAAGCAGGTCTTACCTGACCAAAAAAGGGATAATTCTTCCAAAATATTTCTGGTTTTGTCTTGTGGTGCCTAGCAAACTTCAGTTGTGACACCATCTGTATTTTTTTAAAGGTGAGCTTCAGTTGCTCTAGCTCTATGAAGTGCAAAGAAATCATTGAACTCTGGGCAGTTTCCCCCATTTCAATCAGGAGATGTTAGTGTTGTCTATCTTCAGAATTGAATATTTGTGTACTGCGTACTGCATATTATCTACTATTTCTTAGTAGTAGTATATGTGAAATAGTACCCATATGCAAGAATAATTATGCTTCATTGTTGTCTCACGAGCTTACACTATTATGCGCATGTTTAATTTTGTGAATGGTGTTCATTTGTTAACTTGGAAATTGGTTATTATTAATTAATCAAATTTTGTCAGGTTTCTTTTTAATTTGTTCCATTTACTGCAGAAATAATAAGATTAATATGGTAGTTTGCTATTCTGACCAGTATTAACTTTATGCAGAATAGACATTATAAAGAATTGCCTAATAACATTTCATTTAAATAGGTTGTAATTTGAGTTTGCAGAGTGGGAAATAATCAGTGAATGCTGAATACTTTCTGAAAGCACCATTGATGTCAAGCTGACAATCAGCCAAGAAATAATTTAGTCACATGATCATTGTGTATTCTGCACTTCATTTAAAAGCCGTTTTACCTGTTAGTGAGTGTTAGCACAACTCTCAGTGGTGGCGTCCCATGCTTCTTTCTCCATAATAATATTGCATTACAGCATATCCCCAAGGAACGCTTCAGAGAGACCATCTGGCACACCTCCAGCCCACTGGGCCCTATCAGAAAAGATTCTGTGACATTAATATGTCTATGAACTAGCGACAGTGGGTTGAAATAGCAGCTAGTTGCAGGGTAAGGTCGTTTTTGGTTACCCAAATTCTAACTGTCCATCAGTTGCCATTGCTTAGATTAGTTACTGTTTTCTCAGACAAGCTTCACAAATTGTCCTGTGAACAATGCAATTTTCTGTCAAATATGTTCATATAGTGCTAAAAATTAAATAACATATTATTTGTACATGAACTGGAATAAGTGTGACGTTGCAAAGCATCTTTTATCTGTCATTTTTCTTTAAATTGTTAAAGGGGTCATATGATGCTGCTAAAAAGAACATTA